ATTCCTTCCTTACCTAGAAGTGCTGATTGACAATGTTTCCGTTACTTTATTATAAAGATGCTTAGCAAGCTTTAGAGTACATACGTATACAACTCACAAGTTTTCTATATCTGTTCTAAATATTGTATCCCTTCCTTACTCATTTTCTATCAATGGTTGACATTTTATGCAATTGGTGTTTTCGTGAAGTTGGGAAGGTTGTAAATGACCATTTTAAATTTTTACTAGAGATATCTAAACCTAATCTGATTGTGTACTCAGTTTGAAACTCAAGACATTTGCTTCAGGGCTTCCTGTATAATGAGCATGCAGTTGCCATCAACATCACCACCTGTGGCTGCTAAAGCCAGTGGTGCCATTCGTACTGTCATGCTAAATTGGCTGGTTTAACACAGAACAGAATTTGAATCGACAACTATCCTCATCAGTGTGATTCAGTCTCACGTGATTGAGATTTAGATATGGTATTTCATGAAAATAGCTTCTACACTGTTGTGAAAAGTATGGAAAAATTGTTTGATTGAAATATGCAATTTATTTCTTGGACAAAAATATGTCAATCAAGACGACTTTCCTGTGAGTCAGTAGGCAATTATAAATAGATCAAGTAGTCATGTTCATGCTCTTGCCATCAGCAACCATTAGGTGTTGCCATGGCAATACTTGCATGATTGCCCTTAAGCATTCTAGAGCATTTGTAGTGAAAAAGACAAGCTTAGTGACACCATATATTCAACCTGCAATAAGGAGCTGTATACAGTCATTTTGTTTCACCACTTTGTCTTAAACAGCCAATTGATAAAAGATAATGTCACTTCCATCGTGATGGCTGCTGTTAACTATTTTAGAATCATTATAGAACCAAAATCCCCATTGATGAATGTGCTTCCTCCACTGAATAAACGGTGGTCAGAGAATCCCAGTTTAGGAAACCATGGTTATCTTCCCTTTCCTCGTCTAAATGATTTCTCGCCCCAGCATTTTGCAGGACTGCCATGCTTTTCTCAATGTCCCATCTAGTGGTAAAATAACATGAGGTTTAACAGCCATCAGAAAGCGACCTTTTAAAGGTTTGGTGTCTCTGATCTTCTTCATCATAATCTCACTATACCAATAGAAAATATTCCATCACAGGGGGATTTAATGCAAAAATAGCCTAGAGAGCCAGGGAATACAAGCAACTCAGAATTAGACTTTTGAAACACATCATTGTAAAACTAACTATCTCTACGGGTCCAGGAATCATACTGTAACGATGAAGTTATAGGGGTGCACCATCTGTGGCAAAGAACCCTGTGGCCACTCCAGAATTGGAATGCTACAACCAGATCAAAATCATTTCTCCACTCAACCTTAAAAGTGCCAACCTCTTTCCAGGCTATACTTTCTTGACCATTTTCAGTGAATAGCAATACCAACATGACAACATTTGCTACATTCCACAAAGCACAGGAAGCTGTCCATTTGCTTATCCAGCCAGTGGGTTTCTGCTCCTCTCCTAGCATCATTGCTCCTCCTCACCTGAGTAGGTTGAATTAACGAATGGCACCTAAACTCACTATTTGAATACCTTTGAGTGTGAGTGAGTGTGTGTTTGTGTGTGTGCGCACTGCACATGCGCACGTAGCTTTATTTAATGTTTATTAACTTTGGCACAAATGATGCAGGAATCTACGAAGTATTCTCTTACTCAGAATACTCAGTGCTGACTGATGTTCATTTTAGAAATGTTCTAATGGTTGTAAAGGATACTCTCAAAGGGAGCTTGCAGCACAAAATATTAAACATAATGTAATACTACATAAAAACCGAAAGAACTGTGGATGCTGAGGAAGGGTCACCGGACACAAAACGTTAACACTGTTTTCTCCTTCACAGATGCTGGCAGGCCTGCTGAGCTTTTCCAGCAACTTTGTTTTTGTTCATGTAATACCACCTAATGGATTAATAAGTGGGTATGACATGATAATATAGGATGGTATTAAATCTAAACTTGGACAAAGCCATTGACTTCATTTGCATCTCCTTCTCCAAATTCCAATTTTATATTCTCCAAATAATCAAAGAGTGGAATCTTACAGGGGCCTGAATGGTGGGCTGTGGTGAGAAATGTGGCAGAATCATACAGTAAGTGCAAGGCCTGTATTGATGTCAGGAACAACTCGATTCATCTTTTAGCTATGCTTTGAGTGTCTGTGTAAGATTCTAGCTAGGAAGCAGCAAATTGTGCATTAAAGGGGACTATTGCTTGTTATTAACTGCTCTCTTAGTATTTCCTCACATAAGCCAGAAATTCCAGGCTCACAGTGATGCTGTACTGTCTTGCTGTTTAGCACAGAGACAAACCCAGGAAGCTTGTTGTTGTTAGCAATCCTCAGTCAAGCCATCAGTCAGATGGTCCTAGCTCAGTAAATCAATGGCACTCCAGTACCAGTCCAGGGACTTAGACATGGTCAGTCAGTCGCTTAGGGTGGTCAGAGTCAGGTTCCCCTCCTCATAATGGGTGAGGAGCCAAATGCCACACTAAAATTGGCCTAAATCTTTCCAAATTGCTTTCAGTCAATATTTACCAGGAAAAAGGAAAGGATGCCATGAAATTAATGTTTTAAGAATATTTGAACAGAGTGAAGAGAAAAATGTAGAAAAAGCACAGCAGTTAAACATGACAGTAAGAATTATTTGAGTGTTATAACAATATGAGAGCAATCAAAGAAAGATAATAAAGACATATTAAAAATTATTATATACACAAAAACAGTCAATATTCTAAACAATTATTTTCTTCAAGTATTTTGAAATAAAGCACAGGCAACATACTGTCCATGAACGAATATAACCAAAGCAAGATCAATTACTTTAATAAAAATGATACAGAAGGCTGACACAAACAAAAACAGGTCAAAACAAATAAATCACAAGTTGACACTATTCTTCTCAAATTGGCAAAAGAAGAAAATTTATGAGGTGCTAACAATTATGAAGATGTCAACAGATAATGGAAGAGGAAAAAATTGCAACACTACAGAATAAAGGTGGAGACTGGCACTGGGTGTATTCGTTTTGCAGGTAGCCAGCACAAACAGAATAGGCTAAACAGTTTTCTTCTGTGCTGCAAACACTCTATGATTTTATAATTCTATAATTTATAATTCCTTTTCATTAGTTTTTTTAAAAAAAAACTTTTCTGCCTTTGTATTCTATGTTTTGGTTCGTTTTTATGTTTTCAAATGGCACCAGAGAGTGGCAACACTAGACAACACTTTTCACTGCATTTTGTAACAAAATACACATGACAATAAATAAATAAATAAATAAAAATCAATAATAGACGAGTAGAGGTAGCAATGGGTTGAAAATAAGAAGTAAAGTATCTATATTCAAAAGAATGATAAAATGGTCTAAGGCAACTAATAGACCAAGGGTTGAATATTTTGTTTTCTGACTGTGTCAGTTTTGTTGGGAGTTTCATGGAGAGTTTCTCTCCATGAGGCTGAGAGAGATCTCTCACCGCATCTTAGTTAAACACAGTTCATATAATAAAAACTAAAATAGAAAACAAAAGAAATCAGATACAAAAACAGAAATTGTGGAAAAGCTCAGCAGGTCTGGCAGCAGCTGTGGCGAGAAATCAGAGTTAATGTTTTGGGTCCAGTGACCCTTCCTCAGAACTGATGGTAGCGAGGAAAAAACTTTTTAATGCAGAAGGTGGGGAGAGGGGTAAGGGGTAAACGATAGGTGGAGATAGAGCACAAACAGAGAGAAGAACAGACAAAAGAGTGGATAACAATCAGCCTGGAAGAATGAATAGCTACTAATGGGGACAATCAGTGAATTGTATTAATAGCACACCAAGTGATAACAACCCTGGTGTTTGGGGGTTGAGGTAAGGACATGGGAGAAGGTGCCTCAAGCCCTAAAATTGTTGAACTCGATATGGAGTCCAGAAAGCTGTAGAATTCCCCAGCAGAAAATGAGGTGCTCTTCTTCCAGCTTGCACTGAGCTGCGCTGGGTCACTGCAGCAAGCCTGAGACAGAGATGTTGGCCAGAGAACACGGTAGTATGTTGGAAATGGCAGGCAACTGGAAGCTCAGGGTATTTTTTGCAGACAGAACGTAGGTGTTCTGTGAAATGGTCACCTAGTCTATATTTCGTTTCCCCAATGTCGAGGAAACCACATTGTGAGCAGCGAATGCAGTGGACTAGATTGAGTGAGGGGCAGGTGAAGCAAAGTATCTTTGGGACCTTTGATACTGAGGATGAAAGAAGTGAACAGGTAGGTGTTACTCTTTTTCTGCGGTTGCAAGGGAAGGTGCCGTGGGGCTGTGGGATGTGTGGGCGTAAAGTGAAAGTGGACCAAGGTGTCCCAGAGGGAACGGTTCTTGCAGAAGACTGATAGAGGAGGGGAGGGGATTTCATGTCTAGTGGTGACATCCCGCTGGAGGTGACGGAAATGGCGGCGAATGATCCTTTGGATGTGGTTGATGATGGGATGGTAGGTGAGGACAAAGAGTATCCTTGTTGTGGGAGGGAAAACAGGGGGTGAGGGCTGCCGTATGGGAAATGGGTCGGATTCAGCTGAGAGCGCTGTCAACTACACTGCTGAGGAATCCTCAGTTAAGGAAGAAGGTGGACATTTGAGAGGTCCCCTTATCGAAGCTGGCATCATCAGGATAGATGCGAAGGAGATGGAGGAACTGAGGGATTGGAATAGGGTTTTTACAGGAAGAAGGGTCCAGACCCGAAACGTCATCACACATAGAAGAGTGCCTCATTGCGATCCTCCAACATCTGTCCAAGCCGCGCCGAACAATGCAGCTTTGGGCCTTCTCGATGATTGACTGTTACCTCCACCAGTGAGACCCGAGAATGGGAGGCGTGGCGGTGCGGTGGGTAAGACAATGGCATTGTTGATTGGCAAGAGTACGGCAGGGGGGCGGGGTAAGCCTAGACTTCCGGCTCGGAGAGGATGGCCTTTGCACATCCGTCAATGAAGGCCCAGGAGGGGCGGGGCCTGTCCGCTGTTTGTAAACACAGGTGTCGCGAGTTGTGTTTGTCCGCGCGTTCTAATCGCAACCGCCGAGTAACGGCCGCGGCGCGAGGGACAGTGGGTACATGTAGATACCCAGTTCATCCTGAAGTGGAGTGGGAGGGGGTTTGGAAAGGAGGAGGCAACAGGAGGTGCCTCCAGCGAAAGGAAAGATGCCGTTCTTAGGGCAGGACTGGCGATCTCCGGGAGGGTACTGGGTGAAATCCGAGGACGGCTGGAAACGCTTCGAGTTTTACCGAGACGACGATGACGACGAGGAGGAGGAGAGCGAGAGCAGCAGCAACCGGCGCCAACTGGAGATCGGACAGTGAGTGTTCAGCAAACGGTGGATTGACCCTCCTTCCGTAAACAGTGGTGGTAAACATTCTTTACCCCGCAACACCAGGGGCGTTAGCTTAAAGTTGTGCTTCTGTAAATAAATGCTTCCATGTCTTTTGTTTTTGTCATTTTTATTTTGTTTTGAATTCCTCTTCTGTTTTTCCCTCTGTTTGGTTTGATTTTCGCCTTCTTTGGAATTATGGCTTATTGCTGTGTCCTGGTCTATGCTTGTAATCCTCAAACTGGTGATGTTTCCAGCTTCCTATGGCCCTTGGGCAGGGTGAGGAGTGTACGATGTGATTTTAAGAGCTGATCTGGATAATCAGCTTACCATCATGGTGCATGTCTTAACTTTCGCTGTAACTACTCACAGTTGTCAACAGAGACACGGTACCAACTTGAGAGCTCGTAGAATTTGATTTTTTTGTAGCACTTAAAGGAGACAACAGAGAAATCTCCAAAAACTTTGGTGTTGCACTTTTGATACAAAGCTGCATCCTTGGTAGAGCTGTCCTGCATCTTTAACAGGTTCGACATAATAGTGGGCAGAATGGTGAGGGGTCCCCTCATTAATGAAGAACTTGGGGCTTGGTCCTTACAAGGACTGTGTGGTCGTCAACACGTCAGCAGATATCTCGCAGACACTGGTCTCTGGAACAAGTTAAGTTGTTGAGGTTGACGTGAAGCCAGATTTCCCCTCGTTCGCCATCTCATGCGCCTATGTCTGTTAGAGTTTGGTCAGCACTTTTGATGGAGGTGCTACTGAATTGCTTTCAGTTACAGATGTTGAGATCTTGGTGTTTTCTTTTGCAATGCTTCTGCCAAGTGGCGCATAATTCAAGATTCATTGGCAGAACATTGTAATGATGAGCAGGGGGTTTCCTTGCCTCTGTTTAACCTGATGTTGTGAGACTTCATGGGATCCAGACTCTTATGTAAATTCCCAGAGCCACTCCATTCCAACTGTTTACCACCACTGCTAGCCAGTGGTCTGTCTTGTTAATGATACAGGTTGTACCAAGGGCCAGCGACTGATGAATCCGGACAGTAACTGATGGATTTTGTGGATAGGGGAGGCTGCAGTACGGAACATTCTCAGAGAAAGCTATATATGGAAATCCGTTCTAGCACCAGTGGCATTTGTGATGGGAAATATTACATGGTCCAGTAGCACTGTGGCACTGAAGATTACTGAGCCACTTTGTGAATATCTCTTGTACTCTTACAGTGGAATTGCTGCATCAAGTGCATATATGTGTAGTCTCAAGCTTGCAGCTCCTGTTTGACTGGAAAAGAGCTACTCCTAAGATTCTAGCTGAATTTCTCACATACACTGATTCTTGATCTGTAGGAGCAAGTGTTGTTAATGGTGGCGGCAGGGGATGTTGGTTGATGCATTGGTCACAAGTTGGCTGAGGATCTTTGGTTTTCTGTGGAATCTGGTTAAAGTTACCATCCATGGGCCTAAAATATGCAAACTAAAGGGTGTTGGGAGTTCTGGGTACGTACTGGTGGCCCTAGTACAGGATCAGTGTTCTTTGAAATAGAAATGACCACCATTGGCTATGTGTTGACTTTCAGAAGAGAGTGTAGCTATTTTAAAACCTGCATTTTCATTTACTGTGAGTCAGTTTTTAGTGACCTGCTTTTGTAATATGGTCACATGTCAAAAACTAGTTATTATTTTGAAGCAAATGGCTATTGTTTTCAAAATAGAACACAACTGATGGAAACAAGCAATAGAAACTTGGACAGTTAACCATGTGAGATTTTGTAGTCCATTATAAATTTCATTTTATTGTTTACCTGCAGATTTGAGCATTGAGAGAAATATTCCATATTTGGTAATGATGCTGAGCTGTCACAATAGTTTCAGAAATTTCATTTGTTTATCAAGATAAGAATGTGGAATAGGTACTTGGCAGTTTATTATTTTGAAATATAAGTACCTAATTCCTGGTTTTGGTATTGTGCATTGTTGTCTGCAAGGTTGGTTTGTCTTGCAACCACAGTGCAAGAAACCAAGGGCCTGATTACTTGCAATGTCACAAGTGCTATTTTCACTATAACAGTGATGGATTTTATTTTATCATTTTGCTTACCATCCACTTAAGGAATCAAATTGAATTGGATATGATTTGCTATGATTTAAAAGAAATATCTATTTATGTTCAAAGTGCAACTAATTGCAATAGTATTACCAATTACTCTTTTGCCCTCTTTGCAAAATCCAGAATGAGAGAAATGATGTTATGTCTCAAGACTTCCCTTTCCCTCCTGATTATCAAGGTTAGTAGTTAGAGACTCCTGTTAGACAGACAGTATATAATTCAAAGAAATAAACAAGTGCCAGGGAATAACAATCTCCAGCAAGAGTCTCTACATCATCCACATCAATGTGTGTTGGTCATCATTGATCAGAAACCTAACTTTTTGGCTAAGTTAACACTTGAGAAGTTTCAAACCATGCCAGAAGGAGAATCTCACTCAATTGCCACTCAATCCAGCACCATTTAAATGTTAATTTGTTCTTCTACCAGTACATCATGGCTGCAGCATATACCATCTGTGACTCCAATGCAATAATTTCAGCAAGGCTCTTTTGACAGTATGTTCAAACCCACAGTGTCTACTACCTAAGTGGACAAAATCCATCACATGCAATATCCCTTCCAAGTCCCATCACCCAGGTTTGGAAATGTTTTTTCAATCCTCCCTCATTTCTGAATCAAAATCCTGAAACACCATACCTAACAGTGCTGTGACTGTAATGACACTACGTAGTCAGCAACAAACTCACCACCTGCAATGTCCAAGGGCATTTGGAGATGGAAAGTAAATACTGGCCTTGCCAGTAATGCCTGCATCCTACAAACAATTTTTTTTTAAAACGGACATGAAAAATTTACTCTCTAGTGCAAGTTTAAAACAAGCTTTTCCTAAACAATTGAACTACTGTAAGATTCTATCTTTGGATGTCCTTTAAACCACATTAGACACAAGCTATTTATTTTAGAAGTGCAAATGCCAAATATTTGAATTAACAAAAAAGCTGAACTGAAGTTTTAAAACTGTCTTTTTAGTATATTGTCTCAATAGTTTTCAAAAACTTCAAAAGCTAAAAAGTGATTGCAGGGTGTAAGTTTGTGGTTAGTGCTTCTACATTTCCAAAAGGGAAGTTGGGCTTTCCTTTTTAGGGCTTGGAGGAATTTCTTATGGTTGACACTCTATCCAAGGAGAGTATACACAAAAGACAAACAAACTTCTTTTTGTAGTTGTTCATTAATAGCTACTTCTCGTTACTGTTACATCAGTATTGGTGAGAACTCCAATGGAACATTGCATCTGACCGACTGTTAAGTGGGGCTTGCCTTTGTTATAAGGATATGAGTTTGACTTCTTGGACAATGTTCATTTAGTACAGTTTTCTCTCAGTATTCATTGTTGTGTTCTGATGAACATAATTTCTTTACTGACATATCACTGAACCATTAAAGTTAAACCACAAGAAATTCTTCAACATACGTTGATTGCACATGTTGTTCCAGGAAGACTTGAGAATTTTGGTCGATATTGGCTGGGTCTTGCAATTCCATTCCCTAATGAAGACATTTTGGAAATTAGGAGTTGCAGAGTAGATTTGTAGCTTGGGTTGTGGATGTTGTGATTGGTTGGCTCGCTGAGCTGGTTCGTTGTTCTGCAGATGTTTCATTACCCTGCTGGGTAACATGATCAGTGCAGCCTCTGATGAAAGCGCTGTTGTGTTTCCCCATCTTTTAATTAAAATCTGGTGCCTGTTGAGCTGGATTACCTCACTTCCAGTTTTCCTTCGCAAAGGAGTTTATGTGGGATCTAGCTCTATGTGTATATTCTTGGCTTGCTTTGTGGAGTACCAGGCTTCGAGGAATTCCCGTGCTTATCTCTGCTTTGCCTGTCCCAGGATCTTGGTGTTTTCCAATCAAATTGGTGGTTTTCCTTATCCATGAGGATGGAGATGAGTGAACGTTGGTTGTGTCTTTTTGTTACTGTTTGATGTTCATGTACTCTTGTGGTTAGCTTTCTTCCTGTTTGTCCAATGTAGCGTTTGTTGCAGTCTTTGCAGGGAATCTTGCGTATGACATTGGTCCTGTCCATAGTGGATAGTGTGTCTTTGGTCCGGGTGAGCAGTTGGCGTAGGGTTGATGTGGGTTTTTGTGTGCTACTCTGATGCCCAGTGGTCGTAGGAGTCTTGTGGTCAGCTCAGATGTGTTCCTGATATAAGGTAGCGTGGTGAGTGTGTCCGGGCGTGAAGTATCTTCCTGTTGTCGTGCGTGTGATAGGCATCTTCTGACCCAGTTTTTTGGGTATCCTTTGTCTTTGAATACTTGGAAGAGGTACTCCTCTTCTTCTTGGTGTAGCTCTGTGCTGCTGCAGTGTGTTGTTGCCTGTTTAAATAATGTTCTCACGCAACGTCATTTGTGTGTTAGGGTGGTTGCTGTTGAAATTCAGTACTTGGTCAGCGTGTGTGGCTTTCCTGTGTACCTTTGTTAGGAATTCCCCATTTGTCCTGTGTTCAGTTCCTGTGTTCCTGTGTCCAGTTTGTGTACTTTCGGGAGGCCGTAGAATCGGGAGGTGTTAGTTCCTTCAGGATGGGACTATCTCTCCAAGGCACATGCACTACTAGCCGATGAAAACACATACCAGCAAGTGCAGACAGACCCGACACCACAACTGGGCAACAAGATTCTCAACACACTAAAGAGTCTCAAACAGACCGGACAAATCAACAAAACAGACTTCTTAAGAATGAAACCTGAAGGAATTAACACCCCCCGATTCTACGGCCTCCCGAAAGAACACAAACTGGAAGTACCCCTCAGACCCATAGTCTCCCTGCCAGGCACGCCATCGCATAGATTAGCCAAGGAGTTACAAAAGATGTTAAAGCACCTCATCAGCAAGTCACCCCACTCAATCCATTCAGCCCAGGAGTTCCTCAATTCCATCAAGGACATAAGAATAGATGACGACGAGACCATGGTATCATTTCACATTACTGCCCTATTCATATCGATAGACATATCACTAGCAAGGGAAACACTGATAACACTACTAAAACAACAACAAGACGCTAGCGACACCATCTCCACAGACAACATGCTGAAGCTACTGGACCTATGCTTGGTAACTAACACCCTGCCCAAGATTTGAATCCTACCTGGAGCAAGTTAATTTTGGAAGCGTTTCCTTTACTTGGACAAAAGAAATGTCTCTATGAATAGGTGGCATGGTGGTTCAGTGGTTAGCACTGCTGCCTCGCAGCGTCAGGGACTCTGGTTCGATTCCACCCTCAGGCGACTGTCTGTGTGGAGTTTGCACTTTCTCACCCTGTCTGCGTGGGTTTTCTCCGGGTGCTCCGGTTTCCTCCCACTGTCCAAAAATGTGAAAGTTAGGTGGATTGACCATACTAAATTGCCCATAATGCAGTCATGGGAATTGCAGGCTTAAAGGGATTAAAGTTAGGTAGGGTGTGGGTCGTCTGAGTGGATGTTCTTCTGAGGGTCATTGCAGACTTGACGTGCTGAATAACCTGCTTCCGCATTGTAGGGGTTCTGTGATCTAATAACTGCTCTTCATCAGATGAACCCTCTTGTTGGCATTAAGCAAAACAAAATCTCTTATTGTACTGAATAACACCCTGTTTTAGGTGAATAGCAAATTTTGCTTCCTTGTGTCCATGATGACACATAATCTAACTCTTAATGCAGAACTTGTTGCACGCGTAGGGAAAGCAGATACCACCTTCAGATGCTTCACAAAACGTGCATGGAATAACATCAATAGAACAGAATAGCCTTTATTGTCACGTGCGCTTGAATGAGTACAGTGAAAAGTTAGTACACGTTTTAAAAAAAAAGTTATTATAGTGTAAAAGAAAATAGATTAGCATGGAAACAGTTGAAAAAGTCCAGAATGGTAATAAGTAAGTACTTAAGTTCCAGTCTGTGCCTGTCAGCCCCAGAGCATGAGGCCATGCAGCCTCAATATGCCGGCCCCCATTCAGCGTTCGCTTCACCGTAGGATCCGGCCCACTTGCTTCGCCCTGCCACAGGACTTGGACCTGCAGTGGGACCCGGCCCATGCTTTCCTCGCTTTGCCCTGCCCTGCCCCAGGCTTGTTCCACTTCTCGACTCCAGTCTCCAGGTAGGGCAGAAGTGGGGGTGAGGGGGGGGAAGAAAAGAAAAGCTGCAAAGAGGAGAAAAATAGAAAGAAAAGGGAAAGGGAATGGCAAGCAGAGGAGTTTCGACTGGAGCGTCCTACTCTGCTGCCATCTTGAATGCAGATGAGTGTCCTATACATTGGGGAAACGAAGTGTAGACTGGGTGACTGCTTCGCAGAACAGTTGCATTCTGTCCACAGAAAAGACCCTGAACTTCTAGTTGCCCGCCACTTCAACACATCACCCTGTTCCCTGGCAAACACTTCTGTCTCGGGCTTGCTGCAGTGCTCCAGCAAAGCTCAGCACAATTGGAAGAACAGCATCTCATTTTCAGCTTGGGGACCCTGCAGCCTTCCAGCTATCACTTAGGACAAAATGCTAGGTTTTGAGGATTCTGTTCTCAAAACTTTTTTTGTCTGGACATGAAATGTGGGTGACTTATAGCTATCAAGAAAATAAGCCCAATTTTCACATTTGCTGTCTGAGGTGCATGCAGGGCAAATCACAAATGTGGCAGTCCTCTCAAAGACTTTTTCCAAGTACGCGGACGCACCTAAAGCAGAAGTAGAATTGCTGGCTTGGGCACATGTTTTCAGAATGAAAAGCTGTTGCATACTTTAAGAAATTTCTTTTCTTATTGGTGAAATAGCTGGAGACAGGCAGTCAATATAGTGCCCAAAACTCTGCTGTTCAGGACCTTCACATCATGCTTGCAAGCATCCTTGAAGCAATGAGGAACTTCAATTACATCGAAAAACTAGATAAACTGAGATTTCCTTCAGTGGATTACAAGAGATTTAGAGGGGTATTTTAATACAGGTCTTGGGTGGTGGAGAAAGGTATTCTGATCGTCATTAAGGGGAAACTGTTACTGTAGCAGAGGGCACTAATTCAAGGTAATTGAATATACAACCAGAGGCATAATAAAGAATCAGAGATAGTAGGAACTGCAGATGCTGGAGAATCCGAGACAACAAGGTGCAAGGCTGGATGAACACAGCAGGCCAAGCAGCATCATAGGAGCAGAGAGGCTCTCTGCTCCTATGATGCTGCATAATAAAGAATGTTTTCATGCCAGTTGTGATGTGGAATGCACTGCCTAAAAGAAGGGCAAAAACAGTTGATAATCCCTTTCAAGAGAAAACTGGGTACCTACATTTTTGTTTAGGTGGCAGGAGAGAAAATTTCATGGCCGTGGAGAAAGCATGACCAGCTCTGGACTCTTATTTCAGAGCTGACATGCATAATAGGGTTGGATGTCCTCCTCCTGCACATAATCTGATAAGAGTCCAGAGATCAGAGCCTTGGTAATCTTCTTATCACCTAAATCTACACATTTGTCAAGATCAGATTCTGGTCATTGCATCAATAGAGTATCAGAGCATCTCTGAGTAGTAGTACGTTTCACCATAGAATGGTGAGGAGAAAATTCTTTGGATCAGTCTACCACATGAATGTGTGTAAATTAATTCCATCTTGTCTTAATTTATGCTACTTAATTCCGATTTCCTAATTTGAATTTTGTAAGTGTAAAGATGTGAATATTTGCTTAAGACTTAATTTCAAATCACCTCATTTTAAATTGTTTGAACTTTGCATTATCAAGTAGGCTGTATTCATTGCTTTTTGTATTTAATGTCAAATATACACAAGTTAAATTTATCATTGAACTAGTGGTATTTGTTTCATGTACAGCAATTTTGATAAGACGTTGTACCATTCATAAGTGATACAGTTAAAGCTCGTTCATGCCACCATATCCAAAGTAAATTGCACATGTTTCACCCTTCATTATTTAGCAGATATTAAAGGAAAAGGTCCAGTTGTTGCTTTCTGCAAACCTACCCAGTACTTTTTTTTTCCAAGCATTGATCATTATGTTTGTGTGGGTTAGTCAATGAATAGCTTATATTTTTTAGGGTCCTATCTTTACCTATTTTCAATATGAAAAACTCTTAATTTTGCCAGTCTGTCCTAAGATCAGAAACGTTTAATGCCAGGAATTAGCTGCATGGTCCTTCTCTGCACTACTTGAGTGTTTTGCTTTTACGATGGTATAAAATGGAACAGAGTTCGACATGCAGTCTGATTCGGACACAATATAATTAATCGTCACATTTTCTAAATTGTGCTGAACTGTCTTGGCATTATGTATCCTAATTGCTTTGTTTATTGTTACTCCAGTGCTAGGTTCTGAATCAATAATCGCACACTTCTGTTCCACTATTAGTTATTGCTAGTATTTGTGATTGTTGTTTTATGTTTGTTCTGCCACTGTGTAATACCTTGTACTTACTTGTATCGCTACTATTGATCTGCAATTATTTTTCCTACTTTACATTTGATTTGCTTAGATTTGAAGAACTCAGTTCTTCACTTTTGGCTTCTTTTTCAATAGGTGTTTGTCAGTGCCAGTGTGAGTTCGCACATGAGTAAATGCTGCAATGTAAACTTAAGCGAATACATTTTGGCACATAGAATACACTTGGGGTTGTAAAGCACATAAAAGCATTGCTGACTACCAAATAAAAACTGAATGAACTGCGGATGCTGTAAATCAAAAAAACAAAATTGCTGGAAAAACTCAGCAGGTCCTGCAGTATATGTGGAGAGAAATCAGAGTTAACGTTTCGGGTCGAGTGACCCTTCCTCAACTGAGGAGCAGACTGCATGTTGCTGAATACCAACCTGTTTTTGTTAATTATTTTACGTAGGAAAAGCAAAATGGTTTGGGATCTGTCTGGACCACACATACATCCGTGTTATAATTGCATGCCACTTCAGTCCATGATTACTTACTAAAGGCGTGTCTACAGGAAATCCCCAAAATAAATAATTATTAAATCTAAATATTTTTGCTTGGTAATCATTCATATAATAAACCAGATGGGGCATTCACCACAGCTAATCTTTGCTACTATATTTTATGCATATCATTTAAAATGTATTAATTGTTTACATTGTACTTGACAATTTCACTGTGACGTTATCAGAGTATAATATCATTGGAACTATAGCGTGCATGCATATCAAATTATAGAATTGCCAGTGAAAAATCTGCAATACCAATAGAATAAAATAAGTTTTTTAATTCTTTGTGTCCCTATAATATGTAATTCTTTAAGAGCTAGGAGCCCTCTTTGAATATAGTTTCCTTACAAGTTCTTATTAACACAGCAGATCTTAAAATTATTTATTCACATGAAACTTTTGCAAAAAAAAAGTCATATCTATACTATATCACATTATTTATATAAAATATTTTGAACTTCTTTCTTTTCAATAGATTGCAGGAAGAGAGCCAGGAAAATAGAATTATTGGGGAAGATTGTGAGGTGATAGTGAAAAAGAGGAAGAAAGACCACTTCAATAACAACACGAAGACTCAATGTAAGGTTTTTTAATAGCCACTTATTTTGAAGTGAACAGAACAGTGAACATTGCAAGCTTTGGAGCTCCAAATTATTGGAGCTTTTTGCTATGTCTAAACTTACAAATGGTTATCCGTGTGTAAATTGGGTATATTAATCAAATTATTCATTACAGAATAGTTTGGAATTAATGCTTGATTAATTCAGTACCAAACCGCTGATTTTTTTTTTTGTTTTAAAAATGTATGCGCATCCATTCTGACTATAGAAAACAGAATACCTTTCTTCACTGCAGGATTTCTTCTTTTTCTGATTTCTTTTTCAAAAAAATACCGAAATTACTTTTGCAAACGTACAAGTAAAGTCGCCATAGTTCCACCAGCCCATTGGGCTGCTCTCTCATTACAGATAGATAGCTAGTGGTGGTTTAACCTGAGAGTCACCTTGCCTCGGGCGAGAGGAGAGGTTGAGAAGGAGAGTTCTTCATGGTAACCTCAGCCGGTGCCTGAATTGAAACCACACTGTTATCATTACTCTGCATTGCAAACCAGCTGTCCTGCCAACTGAGCTCACCAACTCCTCTTCTGTTGAAATATACATCATATAGCAAGTTATTAAAACTGTTTTCTGTTTTGAGATACTCAAACATTATCTCTTTTGTATGGGAGGAAATTCTGGAGTGTAATTGCTCAATGCTTGTTCCTGTTAAAGGACCCTCTACTTCAAAATATAAAATGTCCAACTGTCTGCCTCCAGAATGCTCTGAGGACAGCACCCATCTCCAAGAATGAGCTTAATTTAGCAACATTTTTTTAACATAGTCATGTAAAACAAGAATACACTCCTGGTAATGTGTAGTAAATATTTGCTAGGCTATTACTAGATCCATAACAAAAACCATAATGTTCATAATCATCCACACACCCAAACAATTTTGAGGTTTCTTTTCCCTTTTTCGGGAAGCATTTGAGAAATTTTGACAATAGAAAATGTCAAGCTAATAACAGAAGCAGTAGCATGTGGGGTTAAATTGGACAGTTGTGCTGTGCATTTAACTACCATCTGTTTACTGTAATGCTAGAAGCATGGCAAATTCAGGCTGCCTTTGGGTTTAAATTATTCCAGGGGGCAAGTAAGTGCTCGCCATGCTGTTCGTTGGCTGTACTCAGCAGCAGGGGTCTGTTAATATGAGTATGAAGTGTTACATGAAGGCATAAAAGCAGAAAATATTCTGACAGTACCTAGAGAGGGGGAGACTGTTAAGTTTTTCAACCTTTGTCAGAACTGAAAAAAGCTAGATGTAACCAGTTTTATGCAATACAGAGGGAAGAGAAAGAATAAGAAGTGATTGGAGAATGTACGTGATAGGAGAGGTTAAAAGGGATGCTAGTGTGAAGCAAAAGGAGAGGGTCAAGAGACATAGGAGACATTGTAAGGACACACCAGGAGAATCATCACCAAAAGTTCAATTTTCATCAATTGTGTGGAACATCCTTTGTTTCTAATGTTTTTTTTTGATCCAGGCCCACTCTCTTCATTTTGTCGATTTTTGTTATTGGCTGTATTGCCTATTCTTTTTCCCAGTAGAAAATTTACTCTGTATGTGTGGTGTGCCACAAGGATCAGTGCTGGGTCCACCGCTTTTTGTCATTTATGTAAATGATTTGGATGTCAACATAAGAGGTATGGTTAGTAAGTTTGCAGATGAGACCAAACTTGGTGGTGTAGTGGACAGTAAAGAAGGTCTCATCAGAGTACAACGGGACCATAATCAGACGGGCCGAGGAGTAGCAGATGGAGTTTAATTTAGATAAATGTGAGGTGCTGCATTTTGGAAAGGCAAGACTTAGACACTTAATGGTATGGTCCAGGGGAGCGTTGCCAGACAGAGAGATCTTGGGATGCATATTTGTAGTTCCTTGAAAGTGGAGTCCCAGGTAGACAGGATAGTAAAGAAGGCATTAGGTATGCTTGCCCTTATTGGTCATTGCATTGAGTAAGGGAGTTGGGAGGTCATGTTGCGACTTTACAAGACATCTGTTAGGCCAATTTTGGAATACTGTGTTCAGTTCCAGTCTCCCTGCTATAGAAGGATGTTGTGAAACTTGAATGGTTTCGGAAAAGATTTACAAGGATGTTGCCAGGGTTGGAGGGTTTCAGCAATAGGGAGAGGCTGAATGGGCTGGGGCTATATTCCCTGGAGTGTCGGAGGCTGAGGGGTGACCTTTATAGAAGTTTATAAAATATGAGGGGCATGGATAGGGTGAATAGCCAAAGTCTTTTCCCCAGGGTAGTGGAGTTGAAAACTTGAGGACATAGGTTTAAGGTGAGAGGGGAAAGATTTAAAAGGTACCTAAAGGGCAACGTTTTCATGCAGAGGGTGATGTTTTTATGGAATGAACTGCCAGAAGAAGTGGTGAAGGCTAGTACAATTACAACATGTAAAAGGCATCTGGATGGGTATATGAGTAGGAAAGGTTTAGAAGGATATGGGCCAGATGCTGGCAAATGGGACTAGATTAGTTTAGGATATCTGGTCTGCATGGACGAGTTGGAATGAAGGGTCTGTTTCCACACTGTACAGCTCTATGACTCACGCTCACAATTTCACGTGCTGTATCTCTTGCCTCTTTGCTTCCTTGACTTTTTATATCCCTATTTCTGGGGATTGGATATGTGCCATTGCCTTTGTCACCCCACTCACCCCTATAACTATTACTAACTATGTTTCCTCTTGTCCCTTTTCCTGTAATGACTGTCTTCTATTTGTGCCCCCCTCCATTCAAATGTTGTTAGTGCCCTTGCTATTTCCTGCCTGCCACTGGGAAAGCACTTTTTTTAAGTGCCTCTTCCCTGTTGCTTTGCTTCATCTGATGTTCCAATAATGTACAAAAGCAACCTTTTTTTTGGTGTGTTCATTCTCTTGAATTCATTTCTAAGTATACATCAGTGCACTTTCTGATAACTTCTCTTGTATCCTCTGAAGAAGTATGATGCAGTTGTTAGAGGAAAGGTTAGAAGTTGCTGAATGGAAAGTTGTGTTTAAGGTAACTGGTATTGCTCAGGAGTTATTTGACAGAGGCGAGGCAGCAAAGGATGCTAGAATTTATTATCTCTTCTTGTTCCACCAGTCTAGTGTCACATATTTCCTATTTCCTAATTCCTGCTCTCGTCTGACAGATGGCTACAAAGGTTGTTTGCTCGTAATGGTCAAAGATGCATGCCACAGATCTTGATAGCTGCTCAACTGACTGTCTTGTCTTGTGCTCTTCAAGTTGTTCAGGAACAGAGCATTTCTGAGGCCGTAGTGTTCTCATTTGTAGGTCTGAAGTGTGGATCTAAAGTATATAGATTCTGCACTGGGGTTATTTCATGAATGAGTAAACCTTGTCACAGTATTCTTCATGTCTTGTCATGTTGTATACATTGCAGCTAGCACAGAGGAATATCTTAGAATGAAGGAATAGTGACAACTGCCATTCATCTGTGTGATGCATCTTGCGACTGGTGTGCAATGACATGCATTCAGGAAAATGACTGAAGTCGCGAAGCATGTGCAAAGTATTGCGTGTATGCACATAACACCCTGCACCACAGGGAAGCCTTTGAAAACTTGTCTCTTGCTCTACTTTCTGCTTCTGTTTCTAACAGTCTCCTCTGATCTATTTTGTACATCAGTATAGTTTGAGTTAAAAAGCATTGCTTATATATCTAGCACCAACCTGGAAGGAGTCCGACACACCACCAGTTAAGAGCTGTAATGACTTGACAGCCTTGGGCAATTCAATCATTGCCATCTCCAACATTATCCTATTGTGATGAAAACAGTAGATAGATTTCAGTCACTAATTTTTTTTTAAATTGAGGTGCACGCGTCTTGTATGTAGGTCATTGCTGAAGCTTAACTAAGAGACGTTCACCCTGGAGATCCTCCGATTTTTTTTTTTTTTTTTTTCCCCCCAGAGAGCCCCATCTCACATCTTCTGTTTTCTGGTATTCTGGTTTTGCTGTGGATGTTTCTCGTTATTCTCAGCCATGCTCAATTTCAAAACGATGACACCCAATCCAACAATGACTGGAAGGCAATTTTTTTTTCAGCGTAAGCCTTTAAGATTACCAAAGAAGTAGTTAAGCACAATCAAACTCTCCCTGTAGATTCTTGAAATTTTGTACAAATATAATTCTAAAAACACAAATGCATCAACAATTAGTTGGAATAATCTAAAATTAACTTTTGTAAGTAGTTCATTGCCCCTTTCACATAGTGCTGTTCAGATAGCCTTCATGCTACCTAACCTGTTCAGTTGCAAACTTAACAGTATCAATTGGCTGCTGTTGGGAGAAGTCACTGATTGCAATGCCAGCCAGAAAAATAGGAATGTGCAACTTTTTTTTGAATTATCTGCTTGGAATCACTAATTTCTGATCAGATCTGTGACTGTCCTTGTCATGGGTATTGCCAGTGGCAATTAAACTTTGTTTAACCAAGATACCATCTTGTGTTAAAGGTGGGCTAAATGCAGTTCAATAACCCATCTCGGCCACACATAAGGCTCTTCAAAATGTTTAAAATATCCATGGAAAATCACTCTTTCTTGCTGTAAAGAAGTGTGATTACAGCAGCTGATATTTTTGATGGTTCACCTCACTTCATAAGTCAGTGAAAGACTTGGACCTGGCTGTAACTGATGCAAGAAACTTGTTAGATGGGTGTAGAAATTCACAATTTTGTTTTGTTGTGGGCCTTGACGTTTGTAAGAAAAATTCTTCTGTGTGATAGGTAATCTGTTGAGTAGATAGGAGAAGCAGGGATTCAACAGTTGGGTTACTACATTGAGATTTAAAAGTGGGTTCCAACCCGTGCTGGAATATATACGTTCTTCTGCCAGCTGCAAGTAAAAGATAGGCTGTGGTTTGCATATTTTACAGACTAAATTTAAAAAGCAATGATATGAAAATAGTCACAATCAGTCTTTTGATCTTGTAATCTTAATTTCTACTGGATTTTAAAAATCTTAATACACTAAGTACTCGACAATAGGTGTCAGCCATTTTATTAGCATGTCTTGATGTCACATTACCTATTAATGAACTGTCGAATATTTTAGTAAAAAGCTTTTCGTTTTATTTTTTTCAGACTTCTGTCAGGAAAAGTGGATCTATGTCCATAAAGGAAGCACCAGAGAAGTAGGTTAATTTACTGTGTAATCTTTGTCATTTTAATTTTTATCCCTCTTTTAAATGTTGTGGCTTTATTTTGTTTGCAGAGACATGGTTATTGTACACTAGGAGAAGCATTTAACCGCTTAGATTTTTCAAGTGCAATTCAAGACATAAGAAGATTCAACTACGTTGTTAAAGTAAGTTGTTTTCCTAGAACTTTGCATTCTTTTAAAGATTATACATGTATTCCCTACAACTCCCCCCTCAGATATTTTTGAGCTTTTATTGTCTCTAGAAATGCAATAACCTTGAAATGTTGACTTGCATTTCATCATACAACTTTGAATTGCAAAGTTTGCTTGGATTGTTAATCAGAAGATTGCATTGCCATGGAAATTTTGATAGTAAAAACATTTAAATGTTTTTACTATGAGTGCATTTTATTTTGCTACAACAAAATGAATCAAAATTGAGCTCTTTCCTGTTTAGAATATGCTGATTTCTATTCGTAACTTTCTAATTTTCAGATGCTTGTAATAATTTTTGATGAGAAGCTACATCGGAGAAGTGGGCTTAATTTTATAGTTGGGTGGATTTATCCTCGTGTGACATATTTAACTTAACTGAGACATCTCAAACATTTAACACCTGATGCTGTTTGGAAGAATTTTGAGTTCCACGGCAAAGAGACTCCATTTATTTATGATATAGTTCGTGCTGTTTGGAACCATGGAAGTCCGAGTTTTTCGAATTGATTTACATAGCATGAACAGTGCAGACTTATTTATGTTGCTTGGTCTCTGAATGCTTCTTGTGGAAGAGTTCATTTTCAGAAACTAGATGTGTTTCCAGAATGTGGTACTTAACATGGAATCCAGTTATTCACATCGTTCGCAATAAGAACTGTTTATAGCCAGTGTTGCTAAATTGTGCTATGAGAAAAGATACTTGTGCCAACTAAGTTAACATTTTTTTAAACTCAGCTTTTGCAGCTTATAGCAAATTCACAGCTGACCTCTTTAAGTGGAGCTGCACAGAAGAACTACTTCAATATTTTGGAAAAGATTGTTCGGAAAGGTAAACTTGACCATTTTTTTGTTAAATTTGCAAATATGTAAAACCTGTTTCTCAGACCAAAAATACAGAGAGCTTGTTTTACCCAACACAGTAAAGCATTAATTGCTATGAAGTGACTTGTTTTTCCTTCTGTATTAAGAAGTGTCTAAACTGAAATGATTGATTGTCTTTTTGGTATAAACTTATTTAATCTTGGACACTGTAGACTTCGAGTCATAGAGTTGTACAGCATGGAAACAGACCTTTCAATCCAACTTGTCCATGCTGACTAGATATCCTAGATAAATCTAGTCCCATCCAGATGCCTTTTAAAGGTTGTAATTGTACTCGCCTCTACCACTTTTTCTGGCAGCTCATCGCAAACATGCACCACCTTCTGCGTGAAAAAGATGCCCCTCAGAACCCTTGTAAATTTTTCCCCTCTCAACTTAAACCTATGCCCTCGAGCTTTGGACTTTCCTACCCTTGGTTAAAAGACCTTGGCTATTCATCCTATCCAGGCCCTTCATGATTTTGCAAACGTCCATAGGGTTACCCTTCAGCCTCTGATGCTCCAGAGAAAATAGCCCCAGCCTATTCACCGTCTTCCTATAGTTCAAACTCTCCAACCCTGGCAACATACTTGTAAATCTTTCTGAACCCTTCTGAACCACTCTTTCACCCTGCACATGCTCTCCCTACTGCTGCGCAATTCCTCCCGCTCCCCATCTCTGCGCGCCTCATGGCCCTCCCTCTGCGCAGTGAGGGAGAGGGGTGGCACGGTGAGAGAGAGAGAAGGAGAGGGTGTAGTCAGAGGAAGAGAGAGAGGGCACGGTCAGAGGGAGAGAAGGATAAAGGGAGCGTGATCAGATTGGCAGAGACAGAGAAGGAGGGAATGCGTTCAGAGGAGAATAGAGAGAGAGAAGGAGCGTGCATGGTCAGAGGGACTGTGAGAGAGAGGGGAGAGGGTGCAGTCAGAGGGGAGAGAGAGGAAAGCTGCGGTCACACAGATAGAGGAGCAGAGAGTGCGGTCAGACGAAGACAGAGAAAGAGGAGAGGGAGAGGAGGAGAGGATGCGGTGAGAGGGAGAGAGAGAGGAGCAGAGGCTATGGTCCACGGGTGGTATAGAGAGATGAGGAGGGGGCACATTCAGTGGGAAGAGAGAGAGAGGAGAGGCTGCAGTCAAAGGGGATGAGAGAGAGAGGAGAGGGCACGGTCAGAGTGGGAGAGAAGGGCGCGGTCAGATGGAGAGGGAAGGAGAGGGTGTGGTCAGAGGGAAAGAGAGAGGGGACATTGCACGGTCAGATGGGGAGAGAGAGGATAAGGGGGCGTGGTCAGAGGGAGAAGTGGAGAGGAGAGGAGAGGGCAGGGTCAGAGGGGGAGAGGGCGTAGTCAGAGGGAGAGAGGGAAGGAGAGGGCGTGGACAGAGGCAAAGAGAGAGAGGAGAGGGCACGGTTGCATGGAGAGAGACGAGCCGGCGCAGTCAGAGGGAGTGCGAGAGGAGAGGGCGCAGTCATAGCGAGAGTATGTGAGAGAAGGGGAAGGCGTGTTCAGAGGGAGAGAGAAGGAGTGGGCGCAGTCAGAGAGAGAGAGAAAGGGGGAGGAGGGGGCACAGTCAGGGGTGGGGGGGAGGGGGGAGGGGGGGGGGGGGAGAGGGGGAGGGAGGGAAAGCGAGAGAGAGAGGGAGTGCAGTCAGTAGGAGGGAGAGAGGAGTGCGTGCGGTCAGTGGGAGAGACAGGAGAGAGTGAGGAGGAGAGGGCGTGGTCAGAGGGAGCGAGAAAAGGAGAGGGCGTGGTCAGAGGGAGAGAGAGGGAAGGAGTAGGCACAGTCAGTGTGTGAGTGAGGAGAGGGCACGGTCACAGAGAGAGAGAGAGAGAGGAGGGGGCGCGTTCAGAGGGGGAGAGAGAGGAGGAGGAGGGGGTACGTTTAGAGGGAGGGAGGGAGGGAGAGAGAGGAGGGTGTGCAATTAGGGAGGGTGAGAGAGAGTAGAGAGGGTGTGGTCACTGGGGGAGACAGAGGAGAGGGTGCGGTCAGAGGGAGAGAAAGAGATGAGAGGGCTTGGTCACAGAGAGTGAGGGAAGGAGAAGGCGCAGTCAGAGGAAGAACAAGTGGAGAGAGAGAAGGGGAAGGCGCAGTCAGAGGGAGAGAGTGAGGAGATGGCATGGTCTGAGAGGGAGAGAAGGATAGGGCGTGGTCACATGGAGAGAGAAGGAGAGGGTGCGGTCAGAGGGAGAGAGGAGGAGAGGGTGGGCTCAAAGGGAGATTGAGAAGTGGAGGGTGCGGTCAGACGGAGAGAAAGAGAGAAGGTGACGGTGCAGTCAGAGTTGGAGAAAGAGGAGAGGGCGCCGTCAGTGGGAGAGAGAGGAGAGGGCGCAGTCAGAGGCAGGGAGAGGGAGAGAGAGGAGAGGGTGCGGTCCGTGGGTGAGACAGAGAAGGAGAGGGTGCGGTCAGAGGGAGAGAGAGAGAGAGAGAGAGAGGGAAGGAGAAGGCGAGGTCAGAGGAAGAGCGAGAGAAGGAGAGGGCGCAGTCAGAGGGAGAGTGTGAGAGAGAAGGGGAAGGCGCCGTCAGGGGGAGAGTGTGAGGAGAGGGTGTGGTCTGAGGGAGAGAAGGACAGGGCATGTTCACATGGAGAAAGAAGGAGAGGGCACAGTCAGATGGAGAGAGAGGAGAGGGTGGGTTCAGAGGGAGAGATAGAAGGAGAGCGTGCGGTCAGAGGGAGAGATAACGAGAAAGTGAGGGCGCAGTCAGAGAGAAAGGGAGAAGGAGAGGGCGCGGTCAGAGGGAGGGAGAGAGGAGAGGGCGTGGTCTGAGGGGAGAGAGAGGTATAGGCTGTGGTCACATGGAGAGAGAGGAGAGGGTGGGCTCAGAGGGAGAGAGAGAAGGAGAGGGCGTGCTTAGAGGGGGAACGAGAGAGGAGATGGCAGGGTCAGAAGGGGAGAGAGAGAGAAGGAGGGTGTGTGGTCAGGGAAAGAGAGAGAGAGAGAAGAAGGCGTGGTCAGAGGGGGAGAGTGCAAGAAGGAGTGGGCATGGTCAGGGGGAGGGAGAGAGAAAGAGGGAGTGCAGTCAGGTGAGAGGGGGTTGCACGCGGTCAGTGGGAGGGAGGGAGGAGAGGGTGCGGTCAATGAGGGGGAGAGAGGAGAGGTTGTGCTCAGAGGGAAAGAGAGAGAAGAAGGTGTGGTCAGAGTGAGGGAGCGAGGAGATGGCGCGGTCAGATGGAGAGAGAGAAGGAGATGGCGCGGTCAGATGGAGAGAGAGAAGGAGAGGGCTCAGTCCAAGGGTGGTCGCGAGAGAGGACAAGGGGACACATTTCGGGGGAGAGAGAGAGAGAGAAGGAGAGGCTGCAGTCAAAGGGGATGAGAGAAGGAGAGGGCGCCTTCAGAGAGAGAGAGAGGGAGTGATGGCGCGGTCAGGGGGAAAGGGAGAGATGTAAATGGCGCAGTCACAGGGAGAGAGAGAGAGGAGAGGGCGTGGTAAGACGGAAGGAGAGAGAGACAGGAGATGGCACGGTCAGAGGGGAAGAGGGGGAGAAGGAGGGTGCTGTCAGGAGGGGAGAGAGAGAGAGAGAAGGAGGGGGCGTGGTCATAGGGAAAGAGAGAGGAAAGGGCGGGGTCACAGGGTGTGGTCAGAGGGAGAGAGAGAGGAGAGGGCATGGTTAAAAGGGATGAGAGAGAGAGAGATGGCGCAGTCAGAGGGCGGGACAGAAGGAGAGGGCATGGTTGGGGTGGGTGGGGGAGAAAGTGGAGAGGGCGTGGTCGGAGGCAGGGAGAGAGTGCAAAGGAGCAGGTGCGGTCAGGGGGAGAGAGAGAGAAGGAGGAGAGGGAGAGGGAGAGATGCCGATGGCGCGGGCCAGGGAGGGAGAGAGGAGAGGGCATGTTGAGAGGGAGAGTGAGAGAGAGGAGAAGGCGCGGTCAGATGGAGAGTGAGAGAATGAGTGAGAGAGAGAGAGGAAAGGAGACCGCGTGGTCAGAGGAAGAGAGAGAGAGGGGAGAGGGCACGGTCAGGGGGAGGGAGAGAGGGGGGAAGGAGAAGGCGCGGTCAGAGGGGGAGACGGAGGAGAGGGCGTGGTCAAGGGGAGAGAGAGGAGAGGGCACGTTCAAAGGGAGGGAGAGAGAGAAGGAGAGGATGTGGTCAGGGAGGGAGTGAGAGGAGAGGGTCCGGCCAGAGGGAGGGAGAGAGAGGGAAGGAGAGGGCGTGGTTGCAGGGAGACAGGGAAGGAGAGGACACGGTCAGAGGGAGAGAGGAAAGAAGAGGGTGCGGTCAGAGGGAAAGAGGGAAGCAGATGGCGCAGTCAGAGGGGGATAGAGAGAGAAGGAGAGGGCTCGGTCAGGGGGAGAGAGAGAGAGGAGAGGGTGCGTTCAAAGAAGGGGAGAGAGGGAGGAGAGGGTGCAGTCGGAGGGGAGAGAGGGAGGAGAGAGCGCGGTCAGGGGGAGAGACAGAAGGAGAGGGCCCAGTCAGAGGGGGAGAGAGAGAAGGAGAGGGTGCGCTAAGGGAGAAAGAGAGAGGAGAGAGCACAGTCAGAAGCAGAGAGGGGAGAGGGCTTGGTCAGAGGGGAGGGAGGGAGAGAGGGAGGAGAGGCGCAGTCATGAGGGAGGAGAGGGCGCAGTCAGTTGGAAGAGGGAGGAGAGGGCGTGTTCGGCGGGGGAGAGGGGGCGGATCGGGGGGGGAGAGAGGGGGGGGAGGGGGTGAGGTCGGAGGGTGAGAGAGGGAGGGGGGGAGGGGACGAGAAGGAAGGAGGAGAGGATGTGGTCAGGGAGGGAGTGGGTCGGGGGGGGCCGGAGGGAGGGAGGAGACGCACCGCTCCCCCCCCCTCCGCTCTCTCCGTCACTCCTCCCCCCGCCCTGCGCACCTGCTATCTCCTTTTCTCTACACGCACACACGCAAGAGTGTTCGGTGATCCTCAGTCATTGCCCACTCGGTCTCAGATGAACTGGTATAACTTTGTTGGAAAACTTACTAGAACCATAGATGAAGTAACTGCTTACCTGTTCCAATGTCATAATATCCCATGAGCAAGCTCTTGGCAAAGACAAATGCAGTAAAATAGATTGTCTCACATGCGGTGTTTCTCCAGTTCCAGAGGTAATAACACAAAGAGAAAATTCTGCAGAGAGAGATGAATGGCAGCTTTCACAACCAATTTCAAAACCCCAATGACTGAAAACTAAACTAAAACTCTGGTTCTGTGGGATCCTGACTCTTAACTATTCATGCCGTTTGTTATGTTCTAACTTTAAACGCCCCTTAAGAAAAAAACCATCAAGATCCAAAGATGGCTTTATTATGCTACTTGTATACTACAGTACATATGCATTGCATTGACTCTAAGCGTGCAAACATTCAATACTCACAGTCCATTTCAGTTGCTTTCTTCTGCCACTGAACACCTTTGTCTGCCTTCGTCAAATTCATGACGACGCGTTGGCAATTACATTGTCTCATCCTGCCATGTGAATAATTTTCAACTTAAATGGCTGTAACAATAAACTTCATCTAAATAGTCCGGTATTTTTAACTTTTAAATTTTTCCAAAAGTGTTAAGGTGTTATGAGCATTATATACAATTGTCTCACATACATTACTGGCAACATAAATGTTGAAACGTTACAAAGTCAACACCAAACTCAAAGTCTCTTCTCGATTGTGGAATATTTCTGTTGATGAATATTCAACTTTGAAAAAGTGCCCAATAGGTCTTTCTATCTTGTCGTCTTGCAAGAGTACAGTAGCGACACCCACGTCACTTGCATTGATAGCCAACTTGAATGACTTTCCATAATTAGGTATGGCTAACATTGGGGCGGTGGTTAACACCATTTTCAGGCTGCCAAATGTCTTCTGACATTCCTTTGTCCACTGAAATTTTCTGCACTTCTTCAAGGCAGTTAGTGGAGCAGCCACACTGCTAAAATTTGGTACAAGTTTCCAATTAAAAACCACTCCATCCCAGAAATCGTAGTACTTCCCTCTTCATCAATGGTATGGGAAACTCCGCAATAACCTTTTTATATCCCATCGGGTCATCTGTCTATGACCAGTGACGTGGCCTAGGAACATGACTTGGGCTTTTGCAAGCAAAGTCTTAGATTTATTACCAAACCCACTTTCTGAAGTTGCTAGAACGGTTCCGATATATGCTCCAAATATTCCTTCCACATGTGATTAAAAATCACCAGATCGTCGATGTACAGCATTTTGGGATTATCCTATTGTGTGGCTTTATTTGTTAGTCTTTGAAATGTGGCTGGTTCATCTTTTATGCCAAATGGCATTACTTGAAACTGGTAAAGTCCATTCAGTGTCACGAATGCCGAAATTTCCTTCCTTCTCTCTGACAAAGGTGCCTACCAGGTATTAAGGTATAGTTAGAAAAACACTTCCTCAACACAGCTGTGGAATAGGATGCGAATGTGATTTCATAATGAGATTGACATTGCAGTAGTTGACACACAAACATTGGGTACCATCTGGTTTCTGCACTATCCCTATAGGTGAGCTCCATTCACTGCAACTCACTTCAATTATATTGTCTTTTAAGCAGGCTTTCAATCTCTCTGAACCTGTGCCAATTTTAGAGGGTTAAGTCTATAACAATGTTGTTGACAAGAGTCCCCAATTTGTTATGAACCAGACCAAACCCTCTCAAAATATCAAAGAGATAGCCAAGGCCCTTACTTTATCTTGTTTACAGGCAAGTGTAGGGCGCTGCATTTGAGATGGGATTTGATTGGTCAGACTATTAGGCTTTAAGCAAAATACACTTTATTCGTAAACTGGTTAAAATACAAACAAAAGAAAGAAGAATTGGTAAAACTATTGGAAAACTTAACAGAATATAGATTATTTAACTGCTAAACAGTAACTATTCCATTATGGTAGCATCCGAAAAACGCACCCTTGGCAAAGGCAAATTCAGTAAAATAGATTGTCTTACGTGGTGTTTCTCCAGTCCAGGGGGAAATAACACCAAGAGAACATTCTGGGAGAGAAAGATGTATGACAGCTTTCATAACCAACTTCAAAACCTCCAACAACTGAAAACTAAGCTAAAACCGTGGTACCATAGGAGCCTGACCACTCAATCATTCTTCTTCTATTGTTCTAACTTCTTTTTAAAAAAAAAAAGCCAAGGCCCTCACATTTCCTACAGTCACCTGATTTATTTTTCCACATGTCAGTTTCACAATAAGATCAACCCTTTTTTACACCACTTATTCCCGGTAGCTTACTACACCGCAACGATAAAATGGTACCAGTAAAGCAAATTTTGTCTATCATCTTTAGTGCATGCAGTGTCATGTCCTAGTCATTAACTATCATCCCAAACGTTCCAAATGAGATACCACAAATTCATTGTCATTTCTAATTTTGAAGGCTTTGTTTTTATGTAACATATGCATACGTATGTCCATAGGCATGTTACATATTTAGTTTTCATTAAACCTGTTTTAAAACATAAGCTATCTTGACCTCAAAGCATTTTGAGCCATAAAATTAAAATAAGCCTTGCTTATTAAAATGACATTCAGAAACTATTTAAAAACTAATTGCAAACATAATATAATTCCTTACTTGCTTAATCAAGTCCAAATTGTTTATTAATAGTTGTAAAATCCTGCAATACTGTCAAAGTCTAATGACTATTAAATGGGGTAATTTTTATCTTTCTAATGTTTGTAACTTTCAACCTTCAAGAAAAACATAACTTATCTGTATGTTGAGAGAAAGGTTTGAGTGAAATTGTGAAAGGCACAAATGTTTCTGTGGTAGAGCAGGATCAGGCATAAGGAGATTCCAGCAGCATGTGTCTGAAATTGAAAATGGACAATGCTGCTAATACCAGGGTGTGACAAGAAATTAGAGGATGAAGTTGCACACACGTATGTGCACATACACAACTTCAACAGAGCTCAAAAGTTCAAACTTCAATTCTTGGAGACTGTTCGCAATCGGTAAGGGTCGGCAATCCTAGCGTCAGCACAATACACAACCACACTTGCTTGTGTGATTGTGGAGCTTCCTTTAGGTATTTATATTTCCCCTTCTTGAATTTTCTCAGATTGTTGTACACTGGCTTCCGCATATCAAGCAAGGTAGCTGGGTGATTGTGGTTCTGGTTGTGGTTTAATAGACTTGTTTGTTTCCTGTTTCCTGGAGATGTAGCAGTTTTTTTGCCTGATTTTTATGCAATTCACAAACTAATCAGTTACATCATCCAATGATTTAATACATGAATGTGTAGTCTGCAATATCAGTTTAGCCACTTCAGTCATGAATTGTCCAATCATTGCCATATATCTTTTCCTCAATCAATATGGTGTTAGCTAAGATTATTTAAAAAAATGTTAAGTTTAATTCTTGTATTTCTGGTTGTACGAAGAAAATGTTTCACAAATTACTTAGTATATGAAATGTTGTAATTTATACAATGTATAACTTGCCTGTTTTCATTGATACATTGAGTTGTCTTCTACGTAACAGGTAACTAGTATATCTAACTAACAGTTAGATTCTAGGTTCTTGGTGATGCTAAAAGCATACTAATAAAAACAATTAACTATTTTGCTTTATTTCCTCTTCCTCTGTAACTATGGCAATTTTTAGCCTTGAATTATTGATTTTGTCCTTACCTTGTGAGTTCTTAATTAGTAAACAGAGATAGTTATTTTTACACTTTTGATATAATTTTGACATGTTAAAATTTATGACGGTACTTTTGCAAACATGCTGCTTCCTTGCCATATCCAAAATCAACCTTCAAATGTTTAGTATCTCTAAAAGTAGGAATATTTATGAATTCTATACCTTTTGTATCTTTTCCCCCTCGCCTTAAACCTATGCCGTCCAGTTTTTGATTTCCTCACCCTTGGAAAAAGACTTTAGCCAGTAAATTCTTTCTTGGGTAATTGGATAATTAAAGCACACCGCACCTGAAAGAGGTTGCTGTTCTAAATTATGAAGCTTTTCAGCATTGATAGTAAATACTATGGTAGGTTTCATGCTATGCAAGTCCAGTTTTTTTTAAAGTTCTCTGTAGTCTTTACTAACGAATGAAACCGCTTTGTCGGTGGAACATCGTCTTTGGGCAGGTAAATAATACCAATTCAGTATGAAATTTCTCTTGATTAGCTTAAATGAGCTAAATCAGAATTGTGGGGACTACCTTCACTTCCGTCACCACCAGCTTAATGATTCCCAAATAAAGATTTTGTTCACATTAAATCTGAAACTGTTTGCACATACTAGTAACCGAGCTGATGCTTGCCAAAACTCATTTGTCACTAGCAAAAGAGAAGCGACATTCATCTCATCAGTTGATTTTAATTGGTCTGAACAAACTCAAAGCAGAAACAATCATTTGTAAACCACTGCAAATCTAATCCAGCTATAATTTTATCCTTCTTCTTAATCTTAGTTATATAGCATTGAAGTATGCTTTTCCGGTTTTCTTACAGTGCTTGAAGACCAGCAGAATCCTCGACTAATCAAAAACCTTCTTCAGGATTTGGGTTCTGCCCTCTGCATCTTAATCCGTGAGGTGGGAAGGTGTGTCCTTGTTGGGAACGTTAACATCTGGGTTTGCCGTATGGAAACTATTCTGAATTGGCAACACCAGTTAAATAATCTGCAAATTACCCGGGTGAGAGGACTAACCTTGCATTTTTATTGATTACTTACTTGTTTTAGTTTTAACTTTCCTGTTGATCAGATCTATGAATCTTTTATGTTAGTAGTTGATCAGAATGTTGTATTACCATGAATTCATGGCTTATCCCTTTAACCTGGTCACCACGCTGGAGTTGCTTCTGGACAAGTTAAGTGTAGTCCTGTATTTATGTGTACATTTTGCAAGCCTGAGACTTGTATCTAGCTGTCATGAATTGTTTTTTGAGCATCTGCTGGATGATAGTCCAATATTTTCAACATCATTTGGCAGTACAAAGAGAAGCGGAGAAACAATTGGGTTTCATCCCAGAAAGTCTGGAAAACTTGTGACATAACTGGCCTGTGAACAAGCTAAGTGGCCCTTCTGTTCGGCCTTGTGCAAGGCTGGATCAACCTGCCATACATGTAGACTGGATCCGGGTTCCTTGCTCACTAAGCTTTCATGTTTGTGTTTGGTGACAAAGCCTGGATGAGCTTGCAAGGTTTCATTTTGAAGAGAGGTGAGAAGTAGAAAATATTTGTAGAAGCATCATTTTAAGGGGAGAGTTAGGAGATCTGGGTGTGAGTCTGATGTTCACCAAAGAATTGCTGATTAATGGGAGGAAGTCCAACTCCCTGTGAAGGAGCATCTGGTTAAAAGCTTCAGTCACTGTGATAAATCTTGAGTATGACCTCTCTGGAGAGGCTCAAACCTTTCCGCAAATTTCTCAATGGCTACAGTTAGTATCTTATGATTGTCATTTGCATTTTGAGCACAAAATTATTAGAATAATTTTATGTGTCAAGTCTGATGCTTTGCATACAGTTTGGATAACATAAATGTTTTTAGTTGAAAGGCAGGATTGTGCTCTTAGAGTATCAGGTTCGCCTGTTCCCTTTGGACCTTATCGTGTAATTTGTGTTTTTTTGTTCTGATTGTACTGAAACTAAGTTTTCTATGAGGTTAGAGCTGTCCTGCAAGTTGATTGCAATGTGGTTACCTTTCAGCTTTTGCTAATTCAGATTAGTGCAAAATGTTTGGAACATATGGCATTATTGTTTGCCAGCTCCTGCAGTCAGTTGTGATATGATCCTAGTAGCTGAAAAATATATTATTTGCTTGCATGTCTCATTTCTTGTTCATTTTGATTTGCTTGCCATTCCTGTTTGCTGTACAAAGTGCTGTTCAGTAATGCTGAATCATCCACATAAGTGACATAGCTTGGGTAGCATAACTACGCTCATGACAGAGGAGTGTTTTTAAGGATATCTCCACTGATAGTGTGTCCTGCTGTTAAACACACAAAATATGTCAAGATTTTCAAGAACAAGCGTAACAGGAATGATAGGGCAGTGTTCGTTAAAGAGGATGGGAATTTGGTGGGTGCCCAAGAGGTTTAAACATACTTGTTCTGATGATGAGCATGAATCGCACCATATTGTTGAATGAAAGCCACAGGCACTGGTGCAACAACACCACCCAAAGTGGGCAGTTTCTTGGTCAGGTGAATTGACACTTAAAATTTGTGGCCAACTAAAAAGTATCTCTGTTAATCTTGAGGCCAGTGGCTAGAGAACCATGCCAGATTCTGTTCTCAATGAAACAGCATCATACCAGCACTTGAGGCATTTTATTCCACTGAGTTCCTATGAAGTCAAGGAACTACAATATGTTGTGTACTGCTTTGGGATTTGATTGTCTGGTGTATGTGTGCAGTCATGAAGAAAGGGAGAGATGCAATCCTTAAGGAGCCCAGATGGAAGAAGGTAAGGTCTGAAGTACTGAGACTTCCTACTTTCCTGTCTGGAATTGGTGGGGGGTGGGATTAGTTGTCTGTCATGACAAGGCAGTCATAAAAAAACTTGCTGAAAGGGAGTTGACTAAAGAATGCCAATATACATAAATATCCTGGGCAATGGATAATTTTGTCATGTATCTGTATGTTTAGATTTGCCATTCAGCTCACACATGCATACATAATGAGCTGGTAAAATCACATGAGAAACCTCAACCTGCTCCCAGGCAGAAGTGGGCTCTGGACTTGGATTCCATAATGGAAGATACCATGCCTTGTCACAGGCAGATCATTTTGTCTTTGGCTTAGCCTGCAAATGGCAACAAGAATGGAGGAATGGGAGGCTAACATCTTTCTAATGTTCATTCTACCTACTTCTGGTTTGCAGGTGGATCTGGGGATAAGCAGGCAATCTGCTGTCTGGCTGCGGGTTAATCAAATGTACGTTTGGGTACGTTTTACATTGGCTGGACAGTTGTTCCAGTGTAAATTTTGAGCTATGCATAGGGACACTGGCGAATTCACATCATAAGCATACTTTGAAGGAATTGCAAGTGAAGTTGAATTTTCCTCCTGGGCAATTTTTCTATGACTGGAACCCTCCAAAATTTTTCTTAAATTGGAAACTTCAGGTGACTCCTGAAATTAAGTAATATAGCTACACAGGAAAAAATTTCAAATACACTATCTAACTTCTGAGTAATTATTAAACTGACCCTATCCTTAACTTGCACACATACCCTCAGCACCATCTCCATACCATTTACCTATCTAGTACCCTTCCCGCCCTACCCTGCAGCACACTAATATCGAGCTTACCTTACACAGTTACTCTTTGACAGAAGCTGTCAAAATTGTTTAAATTTCAAAATACAGCAGCTGACTCTTGTGAAAAAGGGGCATGGGTTGCCTTCCTTTGAGAGTTTTGTGCAATGAAAAATCTGTCAGAATGGAAGTATAGCTCTGCATTTCCGAAGGAGATCTGAGCGGAATCTCCTCTCAGAAATACAGAACTCCATTCTTACTTTAAAAGACAGGCTAAAGTGGCAATCTGCATGAAATATCTACTGGCTTTCTGTTTTTCCATTTTGATGTTTTTGTTTTCATTGCTCATTCATAGAGGCTGGTTTGCTGGGCATCAGGTAGCCTCGCACGTAAAAGGAATTTTAAAAATATTTTTATATGATTTGGGTATTACTGATGAAGCCAGCATTTATTGCTCACCATAATTGTCCTTGAAGGTGATTGGTGAGCTACTTTCTTAAACTTTTTCAAAAATAGAAATTGCTGGCAGAACTTAGCAGGTCTGGCCATATCAATGGCAGTTCTGATGAAGAGTCACCAGACTCGAAACATTAATTCTGCTTTCTTCTCACAAATGCTGCCAGACCTGTTGAGTTTTGCCAGCAATTTCTGTTTTTGTTTCAGACCTCCAGCTTCACAGTTCTTTGTTTTATTTCTTAAATATTTTGCAATCTTGCGTGATGTTGCTACATCCAGATGTAGCAATGGGGAAGGATTTTTTTTTAAAATATGTAATACATTATCAGGATGGTGCACAGCTTAGGGAAACTTTCTGATGACGTTTCCTTGAATCTGCTGCCTTGTTGCTCTAAGTGAAAGAGGTTTACAGTTGGAAGGTGCTATTAAAGAAACTTTAGAATATTGTAATGCAGTTGCAAATGGTGCTCACTGCAATCATGTAGCAAAGGTGGTGCAGGGAGTTAATGTTGAAGGTGATAGATGAGGTGTCGATCAAGTCAGCTGTTTTGTCCAGGATGATGTTGAGCTTGTGTTGTTGGTGCTGCAGTCATACAAGCTAGTGGAGATTATTCCATCACACTCCTGACTTGTGCTTTGCAGATGGTGGGCAAGTTGGGTTGTAACTCATTTGCTACCAAATTCCCAACTTTTGATCTGTTCTTGTAGTTGCATTCTCTATATGGCTGGTTCAGTTCAGGTTCTCTTCAATCATCATTATCCGGAATGTCGATCGAGGAAGATCCAGATGATATTCTCTGGAACAAGTAGTTAGACTCTCTCTTTCTTTACTGAAGATTATCTGACACTTGCGTTATGCAAATTTCGGGTCCGGTGACCCTTCCTCAGAACTGGTAGTGGCTGGGAAAACGTCACTTTATATGCAGAAAATGGGGAGGTGGGTGGGGTAGGAAGTAAATGATAGGATAGAGCCCAAAGAGAGAGAAAGACAGTTGCTAACGACCAGCCTGGGAGGGTGAATAGTTGTTAATGGGGACTGTTAGTGACTAACAACAGGAGGTGTGTAATGGCAGGCCATGTGATAACAAGGCCTGGTGTGTGGGGTAGGGGGCTGGGACATGGGAGAGTTTAGGCCCTAAAATTATTGAATTCAATATTGAGTCCAGAGGGCTGTAGAGTCCCCAAGCGGAAAATGAGGTGTTGTTTGTCCAGCTTGCGTTGGGCTTCACTGGAACACTGCAGCGAGCCAGAGACAGAGATGTTGGCCAGGGAGCAGGGTGGTGCATTGAAATGGCAGGCAACAGGTAGTACAGGGTCTTTTTTGTGAGCAGAACGTAGATGTTCTGCGAAGCAGTCGCCAAGTCTATGCTTTGTTTCCCCAATGTAGAGGAGACCACATTGTGAGCAGCAAATGCAGTAGACTAGATTCTGGGAAGTGCAGGTGAAGTGTTGCTTCACCTGGAAGGTATGTTTGGGCCCTTGGATACTGGGGAGGGAGGAGGTAAATGGGCAGGTGTTGCACCTTCGCCGGTTACAGGGGAAGGTGCTGTAGGGCTGTGGGGAAGTGTTGGGGGTGAAGGAAGCGTGGACCAGGGTGTCCTGGAGGGAACGGTCCCTGCGGAAGGCGGACAAGGGAGGGGAGGGGAATATGTGCCTGGTGGTGGCATCCTGCTGGAGGTGGCGGAAATGGCGTCTGATAATCTTCTGGATGTGGATGCTGGTGGGACAACACCTCATTTTCCACTTGGGGACCCCACAACTGCTGAACTTTTTTAGCAATTTTGGTTTTGTTCCTGATTTACAGCATCCACAGTTCTTTTGGTTTTTATTGCGTTATGCAAATGTTACTTGCCACTTATTAACCCAAACTTGACTATTGTTCAAATCTTGCTGCATTTGACACATGCTGCTTCAATATTTGAGGAGTTATAAATTGAACTGAACACTACAGTTATCAGTGAACTTTACACTTTTTTGACTTTTATGATAGTGGGGAAGTCATTGATAAAGCCTCTGAAAATGCTTAGATGTAGTACCTTGAGAAATTCCTGGGACAGGAATGGTTGGCCTTCAATAATCCATTCAATATGATCCAGACAGTGAAAATTAAAAAAAAAAAAATCCATTCATTACAATTTCATTAGGGTTTCTTAGTGTCACACACAATTAGATGCTGTCTTGATATCAGATGTATTTAATTTTTACCCTCTGGAATTCAACACCTTTTTGTCTATATTTGGCCTAGAGCTGTAATGAGGTCCTGTAGTGTGTCCTGGCAAAGTATTTGTGTGTAAGTGCTACCTGATAAGAGCACCGTCTTGAGAACAGCAAAGGTTGTTGGACAAGGCATCCCTGTCCAATTTTCCACTTCTGATAGGTGCCAATGATTTAACTGTAGAAATAACTTGATGCAGTAAGTTCCGGAGCACAAGGTCTTCAGCCCTTGGCTATTCTCAAGTCCCATAACCTTTTACTGTACTCAATACCTTGATGAGGAACGTGCATTTCCAAAGCTGCTTGTGAGATGGAGCTGGTGTGTTTTCCCTCATTGTGATTTAGATGCGACAGTTCAGTGTGGTATGCTACAGTTCTGGAAGATTATAAAAGCCCCGATGTATATTGCTTTCTCCCTTTTTGGATGAACCTAATGGCAGTAATTTTTCTTCTTTGCGTTTACAGCAAATGAATAATGGAGCAACACTGAGTGACCTTCCACTTCACATGCAGAACAGCATCCTATATAGGTTTTCTGATGGTCTGGATATTGTCAGTTTAGGTCAGGTGACTTCTACTCTGCACATGCTCAGTGAAGATAGACATCTGTGGAAAAAACTTTGCCAGTACCATTTTGCAGAAACACAGGTAAATCTATCAGATGAAGCCACAAACAACCTAACAAAATGCAGAAAATCCATCATAGACCTAATACTGTACATAAGTACGTATTTTATTTTTAAAATACAGTTTTGCTCCTAGAATATGTATGAAAAATGAGACTAGTAAAAGCTAAGTAACTGTACATAGAGTCACTACTTCAGTATTTTGCAAGCGTACATTGCCTCTGTATTTTGGATAACTGCTATTATCAGAGTGAGTGTTGGATTTCATTGTGGCACTTTGCAGTCAGAACTGTAGCTGTCTTCTGTGGTATGACTCCTCCAGTTCCATCCACTTGACACCATTCATGGTAGGAACTTTCATGTATTCCTTGTCCTCGTGGTCATGTCAAAAATGTAGTCTTTTTTTCCTCACTTATGGTGCATTAATATGTCTACCCATTTGACATTAGTGATATTACTTCAAAACTGAAAGATTTGATGCTGTCCATTCACTTTTTTTTAATGGGGTTGGGGGTATCCATGCCTTTTATGGGCTATTAACCATTAATCTTTGTTAGATATCTAACCTAGAACCATCTGTACTGAATCTATGGTATGTGTGCAAGCAACATCATAGTTCTTCATACAATAAGATTTGAGAATACTTGCTGAGATATGCAGAGCCTAAATCAGGAAAAATGAATTTAAGTATTTAATTCATTGTAAAGTTACGAACAGAATGCGAAGTAAAGAAAGATGAAAAACAATTGTGAATGCTACTTTGAACTCCGATGTTCAGAATTACTTTTGATCTTTTTATTTTTAATAGAAAGTTAGACCTTCACTTTCCCGAGATTAGGGGAGTCCAAAACTAGAGAGCATAGGTTTAAGGTGAAACAGGAAATATTTAAAGGGGACCTAAGGGACAACTTCTCCATGCAGAGTGTGGTACATGAATGGAATGAGCTGCCAGAGGAAGTGGTGGAAGCTGGTATAATTCCAGCATTTTAAAAGGTATCTAGATGGGAACAAGAATACAAAGGGTTTAGAAGTATATAGGTCAAATGCTGGTGAATGGGACTGGATTAATCTCGGATATCTGGTCAGCATGGATGAGTTGGACCGAAAGGTCTGTTTCTGTGCTGTACAATTCTCTATGACTCCATAACTGAAAATTAAACTCCATTCTCCCTCCATGTTAGAACCTAAGTTCGCAAATTGTAACTGTATTGTGAACTTTGATCACACTGTCATGTATTTTGGATTACTTTGCCAACCACCTTGATTCAGTGAACTTTGGTTGTCATGCTGTGTGGCATTGGGAACAGTTTCTCACTGTCTACTCTGTTCAGACCCCTTATTATTTTGAACATGTCTATCAAGTCTTCTCTCAACCTTCGCTAAAGGAAATGGCCCCACCACTCCATCAATTCATGTAACTGAAGTCCCTTATTTCTCTAGCTGTTTGCATAAATCTTTTCTTCTTCCTTTCTAATGCCTTAACAATGTTTCAGTTGAAACTGAACCAGTGTTTTATAAAAGTTCTCAACTTTCTTGCATCTGTACTCTATGCTTCTATTTATAAAGCCAAAGATTCCTCCATATCTTCTTAACCTTTGCCACCTTCAGCTATTTGTCCTCCCATGCTTCCAGGTCCTTTTGTAGAATTTTATTCACGTATTTCATATTGCCTTTCCTCTTCTTCCAAACAAGTAGTATCAAGTTGCAATTCTGTGTATTAAATTTCATTCTGCCACCCGGCCACCCATTCAAAAGTCCATTCCTAGTCCTTTTGAAGTCTGTTTCTATCCTCACTGTTCACTATTTCCAAATTTTACCATCTGTAAATTTTGTAAGTGTGCCCTCTACACTTAAGCCTAAGTTGTTAAAATAGATCAGGTAAAAAGAGGTGGACCTAATATCAACCCCTGAGAATCCCACCAAATATCTTGCAGATTTCCATCAAAATCTAAAATCAAAGTGTAGCTGTTTCTGCTTATTTGAGGGTTCTTGTAATAGTGGCAATGCCCCTACCTTTGAGTTAGAAGACCCGGGCTCAATTTCCAGATGTGTATCTGAACAGGTTGTTTTGAAACAATTATACCTTGTGCAGTCCAAAAATATTCTTTAACACCACTGTTTGTTTCTTGTAATTCGGTGTAATAATTTATAATGTTTAAAAGATACTTGTGATTGATTTAGATATTAATTATTGTCAGGAAGATTGAGTACAACCAGTATGGTGGGCTTTTGTAAGTTGATTTAAGTTGGTATATAATGCAGTGGCTGTACAGCAAAAACATATGACCGTGATAAATAACAACGGGTACTAGTCCAGATCAGGTAAGATGTTGACTTCTGAAATCCCTCAGCAATTTTTGAAGGAAGAGTCAAGAGTTCTGTCCCACCTGTATCACTGAGCTGTCCCAAAGTCTCTTTCTTTAATCTAGTGTCCACACTTTTTTTTGGAAGCATAGATACATTGATAAGGCTTTAATGGTCCTACAAAGATTTACTTTATTTCAAAATATCCAGTGAAGTTTTGAGATCTTTGTCTAACTTTTTGGAATAAAAATTATGCCTTTGCCATTCACCTGTTGTTAGCTTCCTTAGCTTTATATTTATTTTCTGGCTCTGTCTCTTTTATTTTCCTTATTGCATTTGTCTGACCAATATTATCCTGCTAACAACATTCCATTTAAGCATCAATGTGACTCTCAAAAGTTTCATTTATTTATATCTATTCCTCTATGTCTAAGACTGTTGTTAAGGCCTGTTAATAAGTTGTTCGTAATAGCCACCCATTCAGCTGATCATCTTCCTTTTGTAAGAGTGTTGAAAAATTATTTTGTTCTCTAAAATATTTTCTATTCTACTTTCACACACTAATTAACTCCTGCACTTAAAATATCCTAATTAAAACAAAGGTTAAAGTAAAAGCCCAGCGCCACCTTGCGCTGTAGTTGTTTTGACTATCTAATAGTTGCTCTTCCACTATTGCAAGGGATCTTATCCATTTGATTCAGAGATAGTGGGAACTGCCGATGCTGGAGAATCTGAAATAACAAGGTGTAGAGCTGGATGAACACAGCAGGCCAAGCAGCATCAAAGGAGCAGGAAAGCTGAGTTTTCAGGTCTGAAGAAGGGTCTTGATCCAAAACGTCAGCTTTCCTGCTCCTCGCCTGCTGTGTTCATCCAGCTCTACATCTTGTTATCTTGAGTTTCTTTTCAACCTAGCCATCATTACCAAGGCTAATTATTCACCAGCTGTCTTTTCATGCAAATGAAACCTTAACTAATAAAAGAAGACTTGGAGCATTACCCTTGCCACTGATCATTTTCTTTCGTGGGCTTCAATTTTGCTGACAAACCTGTTGCATGGCACTTTATCCATCACCTTCTGAAAGTCCATTTACGCCATGTCCGCTCCATTTCTTTCAATACTCTTGTCTCATCAATAAGTAACTTCTTAAGAATTTTTTTTAAGCATGAAGTTATGTCAAAATTTATATCTAACATCCTTTGTAGTTCTGCAGACACCTGATTCTGACTGAGAATGGTTGTGTTGACTGGAAGCTTATGTATTTCACACTACAAAAATATTGTCCAAAAAAGGAGCAATATGGTGATGCCCTACAGTTCTGTCGCCATTGCAGTATTTTGTTCTGGAAGGTAATTTTAATTTCAGTATTAAGTTCACCTGAAAATCATCTTTATGTTTAATGGTGTTTCTAATGCTTAAAAAATCTGTACATTTGTCATTTTGAGTAACATTAACAGACCAATAAACAGCATTCTGCATGCCTAAAGTTCTCTCTGTCTCCCTCTCTTCCCCACTCTCTTTCCCCCTGCTCCCAGCACACACCCAGTGATGTGACTATATGCATAATTGTAGCTGGTTTTTTGCATGAATTTCAAACATTGAATTTTGGTCAAATTGCCAAATGTTCATTGCTCAGAAGTAGAGAAAATAGCTCAATCTTGTACACAATTTAGTACTTGCTTTGGCATGGTTATTTTTGTGGAGGTTTCATGCTCTTACGTATACAGATATTTCAGGAGTAGTTGAGAGCATACCAAAACAACCATAGAGGGATGAAACTGAAGAAGGAACATTGTAACCTGCATAGAAGGTGTATCTGGGATACTGTGTCCACGTCTTGGGGTAAATTTAGAGTGGCTGTTGTTCAGTTAGAGTTAGAATTTTTTTAATGGTTAGTGTTTTTTGAAGTTAGTTTCACAGCTAACTGAACAGTTAAATGTGCTTTCTAAAAGAAAAAAAGTATCAAGTTCTTCAAGAAGGGAAACAGCTAGAAGTTGTGATCATGTTGGTAGGATAGAATTGAATTCTACAGGCAGAATGATCTAGGGAAAAGATGTAAAGTAGCTCCAAAGGTAATGGTCTCTCTGTTACTTCCCATGTACTAACTGGAAGATGATGGTGGTGAGCACCTGGCATAAAAGAGGTCCAGCAATGAAGTCTTCTGGTTCTTGGGGCAAGAGGCATTTTGGTTATTAAAAAAGCAAAAACAGCCGAATAGGGCTAAGACCTTTAACTTCTCCACAGTGACACCTAGTGGTACAGGGTGGATTTAGATGGCACCAGGACCCAGCAGCAGAGACCTGATGCAGAGAAAACAATGAAGAACAAATTGCAACAGAACAACAAATAATGGAATAGAAACAAAGTAGTTAAGATGGTGTTAAAATGTATGTGTATTAATACAAGGCGTATTACACAAGGTGGTTGAACTGCAGACCCAAGTTTCAATTTAGAGTCCTAATGTAATAGCCAGAGTTGTGGTTTCGACTTGGATGAATGAGAACTCAAAATTCCTGCTAGAAATATATTATTATGGAGGGATAAGGAATTTCAAAATAGTGGAAAGGGACACAAATGTCAGATAATACTCAACATTTTGGGACTCAATTTCAGTGATTTTGTGGAGGGAACTAGAGCAGATCGAGTTATAGAGCTGTACAGCATGGAAGCAGATCCATCAGTCCAACTTGTCCATGCCCACCAGATATCGTAAATTAATCTAGTCCCATTTGCCAGCATTCGGCCCACATTCTTCTAAACCCTTCCTTTTCATAAACGCATCAAGATGCCTTTTAAATGTTGTAATTGTACCAGCCTCCACCACTTCCTCTGGCAGTTCATCCCATACATGCACCACCCTCTGTGTAAAATAGTTGCCCCTTAGGTCCTTTTTAAATCTTTTCCCTCTCGTCTTAAACCTATGTCCTCTGGTATAGACTGAAACAAAGTGGAAAGCAGTAAATAAGCTTTCTTTTATATAAGTGCAGTAGACCTAGGTGGACGTTTAAAACATGCCTGTAGTAAATAGTGAGTATAATAGAGATCAGAAGGACTAACTGACTAAATCGGTAACCACATGGCAGATACAATTTATTATAGATTTTGCTCTTTGGAAGATTATAAATATTGCAAAACAGTTGAATCTAATGGGTTCTACATCGATAGAATAGAGGCCTTGGTGCATATTTACTAATCTTTGAAAGTGACCAGGTAAGTTGAAAATGCAGGTAAGAAAGCTAATGGTATACTTGGTGTCATAAATACAGACATTGAGAATAGAAAGAAGAAAGTGGTGCAAAAAATTTACACAATTCTCTGGCTAAAGTCCAAACAGAATCATGTACAGTTCTGACCTCCATACTTGTTTTAAGAAAGAATGCCAGGGTCCTGAAGATGGTATTGTAGGGATTTTCTGGAATAGTATGAAAGGAAGACCTAATGTAGATATCCAAAATTGAGAGTATTTAATGGAGCAAGAAAAGAGAAAATAATTTACCTGACAAATTAGTCCAAACATGCAAGTGAAAAAGAATTTGTAAAAATACAAGAGGGGAAATGAGACATTTCTTTACACCGGTTGCTAAAATCAAATGTGGAGTATGTGGTGATTTTAATGAGGTCATTTAGGTGGACCGCATAGAATATGAGTTCCTTGATTGGGATTGAGTTGACAAGACTGGGTTACACCCTTTGGAAGATAAAATGAGGGCGATCAAATGTGCCCTGGCTGTCACATTTGTACCGGAGCTTATGTCTTTCCTTGGGCTGGTGAATTATTACGGAAAGTTTATACATAACCTGGCCTCCATCCAGTTGTATCAACTTTTAAAGGGTCAACCTTGGAAATGGTTGCATGGCCAAGCAATAGCTTTCAGGGAAGTGAAGAAACAGTTTTCATCCTCTAAGGTGTTGGCACACTGTGATCCTAAGCGAGACCTAGTATTGATATGCGATGCCTCCCTATATGGCTTTGGAGTAGTATTAGCTGATAGGTAGCCCAATGGAGAGAAATGCCCATTAGCGTATACATCTAGGACTTTGGGTAATGCAGAGCGTATATGCTCCCAGATAGAGAAGGAAGGTTTGGCAGTCATATTTGGAATCAGGAAGTTCTACCGATACCTTTATGGGCCTAAAGTTCTAATAATAACGCACCACAAAACCCTGCTAGGTCAATTTCAAGGGGACAGGCAGTGCTGCCCATAGCTTTAGACTGAATTCAGCAGTACGCTGTAAATACTAACTACATATAATTGGAAGTTGGAACACCACCTGGGAGGCCAAGTGGACCGTAGGACATAGGAGCAGAAATTAGGCCATTCGGCCCATCACTTCTGCTTTGCCATTCAGTCATGGCTGATAGATTTCTCAACTCCATTCTCCCGCCTTCTCCCCATAACCTTTGATCCCCTTAACAATCAAGAACCTATCTGTCTATGTCTTAAATATACTCAATGACCTGGCCTCCAAAGCCTTCTGTGGCAATGAATTCCAAAGATTCACCACTCTGGCTGAAGAAGTTTCTCCTCATCTCCATTCTGAAAGGGTCTTCTCTTTACTCTAAGGCTGTCCCTAGTCTCTCCTGCTAATGGAAATATCTTTCCAACGTCTGCTGTATCCAGGCCTTTCAGTATTCTGTAAGTTTCAATTAGATCCCCCACCCATCCTTCTGAACTCCATTGAGTACAGACCCAGAGTCCTTAAATGTTCGTCTTATGTTAAGCCTTTCATTTCTGGGATCACTCTTGTGAACTTCCTCTGGACCTGCTCCAGAGCCAATATATCCTTCCTGAGATACGGGGCCCAAAATTGTTCACAATATTCTAAATATGGTCTGACCAGAGACTCATAAAACCTCAGAAGTACATCCCTGCTTTTATATTCTAGTCCTTTCAAAATAAATGCCAACTTTGTATTTGCCTTCCTAACTACCGACTCAACCTGCAAGTAAACCTTCAGAGAATCCTGGCCAAGGACTCCCAAGTCCATTTGCACTTTAAATTTCTGAATTTTCTTCCCTTTTAGGGGATAGTTTATGCCTCTATTCTTCCTACCTAACACTTTCCCATGTTGTATTCCATCTGCCACTTCTTTGCCCACTCTCCTAACCTGTATAAATCCTTCTGCAGCCTCTCTGCCTCCTCAACACTATCTGTCCCTCCACCTGTCTTTGTCTCATCTGTAAACGTAGCCAGAATGCCCTCAGTTCCTTCATCTAGATCATTAATGTATAAAGTGAAAAGTTGTGGTCTCAACATTGACTCTTGTGGAACACCATTAGTCACTGGCTGCCATCCTGAGAAGGACCCTTTTGTCCCCACTGCTTTCTGCCAGACAGCCAATCTTCTTTCCATGCTAGTGTCTTGCCTCTAATGTGCTGTTACATTGCAGCCTTCTGTGCGGCCCCATGTCAAAGGCCTTGTGGAAGTCTAAGTAGACAACATCCATTGGCTCTCCTTTGAGGAGGTAACGAGCAGGCTAGACAAAGAATTTTAACAGATTTGTCAGGCGTGACATCCACTTGATGAAACCATTCTGACTTTGCCCTATTTTTCCATGGTCTTCCAAGTATTCAGAAAACTCATGCTTCACAATGGACTCCAAAATCTCACCAACAACTGAGGTCAGGCCATTCGGCCTATAATTTCCCATAGATTCATAGAATCCCTACAGTGTGGAAGCAGGGCATTTGGCCCATCAAGTCCATGCTGGCCCTCTGCAGAGCATCCCACCCAGACCCACCCCTTACCCTATCCCTGCATTTCCCACCCTAGACACTTTGGGCAATTTAGCATAGCTAATCCACCTAACCTGCACATCTTTGGACTGTGGGAGCAAACCGGGGTACCCAGCAGAAACCCACACGATCATGGGAAGAATGTACAATCTCCACACAGACAGTCGCCCAAGGGTGGAATCGAACACGGGTTCCTGGCGCTGTGAGGTAGCAGTGCTAACCACTGAACCACCATGCCACCCCTATCTTTTGCCTTACTGCTTTCTTAGACAGGGGGGTTAGATTAGCAATTTTCCTGTCCTCTGGGCCCTCCCCGACTCCAGTAATTCCTGAAAGATCACTAATAACGCCTCCAGTGTCTCTTCAGCTACCTCCTTCAGAACTCTGTGGTGTAGTCCATCTGGTCCAGTTTACTTATCCACCTTCAGACCTTTCAGTTTTGCTAGCACTTTCTCCTTGGTGATGGCCACCATACTCACCTCTGCCCCCTGATTCTCTTGAATTTTTGGGATGTTATTCGTGTTTCCCACCATGAAGACTAACGCAAAGTAATTATTCAGTTCCTCAGTCATTTCCTTGTTCCCCACTACTGTCTGTCCAGTTTCATTTTCC